GTGTCGTGCAGGGAATGAGCTTGTGCATCTGACTGCTGTGCAAAACAGGCTGGTGTTTGTGAACCGGGGTGGCTTATAGTCAGCAGCGATTCCTCTTTTTCTTGAAGAGCTTGAAGCAGGCGAGGGACTACTAGCAGGAACGTATCACAGAGACTCTAAACCTCGGCACAAGTTTCACATCTCTCATCATCATCTGCCTGCCACTTTCCCCCAGACATCTCGAGTTCCCCTTCCTCCCCGAGCATTCAACACAACATCTCTTTCGGGAACAGTCAAGCAGCTCAATAATAGCAGCACTGAGTGAATAACAGATTTTTCAGTTTCAATCTCATACTGCCTTAAAGGAGCTCTTTAGTTTTGCTCTCAGGTTCTTCTAGCTTTTAAAAACAAAATTAGGTCAAACAACTTTAATTTGAAATATTTTATGATGACTGGTACAGATCAGAAATTTAGCGTTTTACTCACATGAAGTTATTCGCTGAATTTGACCTGAATTTGTGAAGAGCTTTCTTTTTTCCTTTTTTCAAAAATGTTCACTCCACACAGGTTTATAGTTACTGCTCAGGAATGTGTGTCATAAATCCTGAGTACTATAAGATCACTAAAACGTTATGCAAATGATTTTCCTTATGCAGCTCCTGAAAGCAGCTCCTCATGTGTCACTTGCACACCTGGGCGCTCCCGGCTGTAAAGCACCAGGCACCGCTCTCCTGCAGTGTGCCACCCGGGGAGCTACTGGTGTTGTTTTAGATGCCACTTCTCTTGAGGAAGAAGGAATTAGCAAAGAAGAGAGGAAAGGGTTGGGAGAGGAACAGCAAGCTGAGAGAGGGTAAACTTGAGGAGCAAACAGGCAAGATCGGCACGTAGCCATGCTGTGGGGACTGCAGTGTCTGCACAGGTCTCCACAGCTGTGGCTTCTCTAGTGGTGATACATTGCGATCAAGAAAGATGCTAAATTAGTTTTGTCATATCCAGGCATGGGCTTTCACACATCCATAGTGAACACAGCCAGAGGTGTGTAGCGAGAAAAATTAGGGATGATGTGAAGAGCATGTTTGCAGAAGTGGTGTTGAGTAGGATGTGAGCTGTGAACGAAGCAAGCTTGAGGGTTCGTATAGCTGAGCAAAGCAGCAGGAGCAAATGGGGGCCAGAGAAGTGCAAGCAAGTTTTCTAAAAGGGAAGTAAATTTGGCTCCTTTTTTCTCTTTCAAGACATGACGCTGTCGCTTGTACACATTTATTCCTTAACGGCCACTCAGAAATGAACACTACTGTTAGCAAATGCAGCCCAGGAGGTGGCATAAGGCCTTTGTACGAGGCAGGAGCTCGGTATTCCTGTGTCCAAGCTGCGTGCCAGTCTCTAGTTGCTGACTGAATCGCTTCATATTCTGTTCCAAGTGAATGTAATTTATACACAAATCTTGATTTCCTTGTGTAACGAAACCACTCCAGCCATGAAATTTGCTTTGGGAACAGGCATGTAAACAAAGCTTTGGGCAGAGGTGCTGGGAGAATGAACAAAGAAAGGGAGGAGAGGATGGGGACCAGGAGAAGGCATGGGCCAAAGAGACTAACTCAGCTTTGGCTGAATGGCTGCTATGTGCTTTCTGCCCTTCACAGGGCAGGGAAGTCCAGGGAAGGCCTCGCACCATTGATGCTGTAATAGGAAGAAAAGGACTAGAGATTCTGGTATGAATTGAATTAAAGGAGTTGGCAAGTGGTAGGAACTGAAAGATAACAGTTAAAAAAAAAAAAAATGTCGAACAGTTTGTGTCCTTCTCCTCCACCCAAAAGATAAATGTTTCATGGCATTCACCTTTAGAGTGAATACGGATCCAGACTGACACTCATGTTTGTACACACCCTTGCCAGCCTCTAGATCTGGGGAACAAGCCAAGAGACAAGAAACCTCCCCATAGGCCATCCAATCTGGTGTGAAAAATGTCAGGTTGATATCATAGGATTATTTTGGATTTTTTCCTTCTGCAGTATCAGAGCTCGTGTAATGATTATCGGACATGAAACAAATAGACTCCAGAACAGGACAGATGCTGTGACTGGTTGTAATTCCACATGGTGGAAAATGTTTGTATTACTTTAGGCAGATATGCAAATTTTGGCATTAAGATAGATATTCCCTATATGTAAGCATGTCTGTCCTTTTCTGACTTGTTTGTACTCCCTCTGAGTCAGGGAGCAGTTCCAAACAAAGAGAATGGACTCTGATATGATCCTTTCCAAGCTTGGTTTCCTTTTCTTACGCATCCTGAAATAATGCTAAACTACCCAAAAATTCACAACATATAAAATAAATGTAGAATTGAAAACGTATGGAAACAGAAGGGGTAGTTTCATCTTATATAAGTTAGTATTTCAATATCTCACCTAGCATTTTTGGCCATATTTAAAACGGACTTAGGGATCAGCTGTTCTGTGAGGAAATTGTCACTGGAATGTGAGGCCAAGCTGGAAGTGAGGTGGGAGCCTGGGATGGATGCTGAAGGTAAAGCAAGCTGAATTGTGGGCTGAGAGCTGTGCTAAGCTGTGTCTGTGCAGAAGGATGGGTGAAGTCCGTTGGAAAAGCACCTGGTGCTGTGGAGTGCGAGTCCTGTGAACAGGGCTGCCTTGGGGGTAGCGCTACCAATACTGCTCTGAGGTGTCCACAATTCACTGTCTACCTGTCTGCCCAAAAGCAGAGCTGGTACAGGCTGCTGAGTCCTTTAGTGCATGAGATAGCTGCAGTAATCCCTGGGCAGCAGCACCAGCCGGGGGGAGCCAGGCCGGGGAAACAGCAGGGCAGCTCAGGCTGCCTTGAAGAAGTGGGCTCACCTAATTGAGAAGATGAGCTGCTCTGGCTGCAGCATGCCACCTGGTGATGAAGTGCCCAAATTCCCAGTGCCCCAGTATCCTGGGTGGCCAATACCTGGCCCCAGCAAAAGGGACAGAAGACTCAAAGAGCCTGTAGCTTGGTGGGAAGGACATGCTCATAGTATCGGACTTAAGCAACCTCTTGGTGTCTTTGGGGACCAGCTACCTCAACCTTGACCTAAGGGCCTCAGACTTAATTTTTGGAGTTGTCTCATGTGGTCTCCATTTTCATTTCAATTTTAACAGCTTGTGTCAACTCTTTTTGATGCTGCCTTTGTCCATGAGCTTCTCCTCCCTGTCCTCAGCTCTCAAGGTGCACAACAGCTGCCCCAACCCATTTATTCAAGGCACCTCCCTTATTTCCTTCAGTCTCTCTGAAATTATCACATTTTCCATCTGGCTTGCAAAGCCATGATAATACTTACATTTACACAGTCAGTGTAATAGGTTTACAGCTATTTATGGAGTCAATGAGCTGTTAGCGTGTCTCACAAAGCAACCCTTCTTCCAGAGGGTTAGAGTTTCCTTTCTCCTTTTCATCTCCTGGCTCTCCTTTGCAGTGTCCTGTTGAGTTCAGATGCTGGCTGTCTGGAGCCAGGATGGTTACTGTATGTGTTTCATGAGGCACACGAGTCCTCAGAAACTGTTACCAAACAATAAAGACACCAAACCCATCTAAAACCACGAGCAGAAAGATATCACCACAATGTCAAATTCTTATGTACAAAAAGTGTTTGCACAATTTGTGCAGGAAAAAAAAACGCAGAATTTTTTTTCTTGTAACAACAGTAATTTAAGCCCTGAGCCACCGGATCTAACTTTGGAGATAGCCCTGTTTTAACTTGGGGGCTTGACTAGGAGGCCCCAAGAGGCCCTTGCCAGGCTAAATCATTTTATGATTCTAGGATTCTGTATACTGTTCAGACACTGCCAACTTTAGCTGTGCTGTTGCAAATGCAGTTTCTTTGATGGGCACTCAGATCAACTGAAGATCTAATCCACGATCTGAAACCATTTCTCTTCATAAAGGTCCATTGTAGGGTTCCACTGGATCCAGTATCTTAAATATATTGTAAATCCCAGGATGAGGACTGTGTAAAAGAATCTGTAAAGTTCTTAAGAGCTTCAGAAATAGAGAATTTGGAAAGCAAGGCTATGACTCTTTTCCTTTATTTTCTATTCTTCCCCCTATCCCCTGACTTAAGCTCCTGGTTCTCTGGAAAGGTTCATGCACTTTAACAATAATCAGTGTATGACATCTGAATTTTGATGCGAGTTTGCAACAAAACCCAATATATGACTTTGTTGGCTTCAAATTTGCTGTAGAACATTTGCAGAGCTCAAACTTACTGTGTGAGTCTTATTACCCTGGTGAAGCATGAAAAAAGGAGGTCAGAAAGAGTGGAATGTACTCACTTTCTACTGAATTTGTGTGACATCTATCAGGACAACAATACTCATAAAAGTAGTCAGGAGAACTCAAGGCAGCTCAGCATCCTAGTTCCAAACTCTTCTATCTCCTGAAAGTTAACTAATGCATGATTAATATTTGAGAATGACATAGTGGTAATCTATGTGTGAAGTTTGATTCAATCCCTTAAAACTGTAGCTTCACAATAATTTTAAGGGACTGGAGACATGACTGTTGTATCTGGTGGTGCCTTCCCAGCACCTGGTGGGGATCTCTCTCCGAGGAAAGCCCAGTCAGTTACAAGGGTCTCTGTGAGCCCCTCCATTGCTTCCTAGCAGGCTCTTCCCCTTCTAAGTCTTCAGTAACAAAAAAGAAGGCAAACCATCCAGATCCACTAAAGAGAAATCAAAAGTAACTTTGGATTCAAATATGACTCAAACCCAAGACTGGGATATTTTAAGCTAATGACAGCCAAAAAAAAAAAAATCAAACTTTTAGCTGAAGAATCCCTTATCTTCTTGTAGAATCAGGAAGCTATAAAAAGCTGGGTAACAAATCAAGCATATCTTCATGTGCAGGTGAAGTAAGAGCAGTGTGGGCATATGTTTGATATTGACTCACTGAGGGCCAGGTTGGCTTACTGAGTTACGCCCCTTTAGCTTCTCTGCCTATAAATTCCTGTGCCCTCTCCTGTCAGGAGCTCTGTTGAGATGGGTCCCACCATGGTCTTGTCTTGGATGGTAATGATAAGTCTTGGAATTCGGGTAGATGCAGGTAAAGAGTCTTGTTTCTGATCACCTTCACAGATCTATCTCACATTCAGGCTAATATTGAATTTTAAAGGTAAAAGAGGATTAAACTTGCCAGCACAGCTTGGTTCTGTTGAAAATTGAGCTGATCTAAATGTGAGCTGAGCTAATTAATAACTAGGTCTATTATTTAAACAGTTTATTTAAACTGCTTAATGTATTCAGATTGAGGCTCTCATGCATTTTTTGTTACAGAGGCTAGTAAAGTAAACTCAAAATAAATATACTGTTAAACCACTGGTATCATTTTTCAAATCTTTCTATTGAGGTAATGAATTTAAAATTCATCACTTTCTTGATGAAACGCACATTTATTTTAGAGTGTCAGGTGCTCTTCAAACCATGTGTTTTATATTTGAGTAGGTAATTGTAATAAATAACATGGTAATGGTGTTTGATGACAGAGTGCTCGAGATAAAAACAAGCATGGCATGTTCCTGTTCCTATTATTATTGTAATTATTAGAATACAATAGGAATTACTCTACTTTTATACTTCTCTAATTTCCTATAGTCTAATTCCTGTTATGAATCTAATTTGAACTGGTTGCTGAGGCAGTGATCTGCACAGTTGTTTTTATTCCTCTGGGGATCAATACAATAGTAGCAGGTCTGGTGGAAGGGAGTATGCTTTGGATGAAAAGTTGAAACAAGCTAAAGTGGTCTTCCCACATTCAAAAAGACTCTCTCCTCCTTTTTTAGGTGAGGTTTCCCTGTGTCAGCAGAGTGCCATGATGGTGCTGTGAGAAACAAAACACTTATTTTTAAGTGACTGCTCTTGCATTCTTTGTGCTGGAGGGTAGAAAAGAAAAAGATCAAAAGGGTTTGCCGTAGCTGCTCTCTTTCCATCCCTTCCTCTTTCAGCTGTGAATTTCTGTCACTAACTTGAGTTAGACTAATGAACTGGGAGAAAAAACACTTCCCCCTTCTTTGCTCCCACACACACCCTCGCACACAATGAAAGGAAATAGCAATTTAGTGTTGTTAACAGGTTTGGATTTTGTAATTCTCTTGTTATTTACGGCCTCTATAAATATTTGTGGTGAGGTCGAATATTGAAAATTGAGCTGTAGTATTGATATTGAACAGGAAAATATTGAGTTGCTGTTTAATCCTTTCACTACCATTCAATCCATTTGTATCTAATGCTTTGCACATGTGAGGGGCGATCTGGGAAGTGTCAGAACTCATCAGAATTCCCTACTCACTGAATAAACGATGAATCTCCCCCTTAGGATCTTCCTTGACATCTTGAAATCACTTTAAATGTATAAACTGTATCTTAAGGGCCAATGTTACAGGTCTTGTCATAAACTACGTTAGTCAGTGATGGAATATTTCCAACTGCCAGGCTGTCCACAGAGCAGGCTTTCTATGTCCAGGGGTCATGGTCATGGCAGCATATGCACACATTTAAAATCCAGCATAAAATTGCATGTACATATACCACTGTTCTCCAAGGGGAAAAAAAAGTGAATTATTGCTGCAATGAAAAACTTAAATAAATCCATGCTTTGTCTAAAACTTCAAGGTAATACTGTGAGAAATTGAGGTAGTGTAAGCACAGCAGTTTTTGAATATCTGAAACTGCAGGGTAAAATTATCCATGGATTGGGCAGAGACATTTCAGCTGAATACAGATTTGTAGACTGTTCTTTCCTGGGACCTGCACTAAGATCAAAAGGAACTGCCCCTGTGAAATGATTGTTTCATTTCGGTTGTAGGCTCAGTGCTATTGCACGATCTTACAGCCTAATTTCTCCCTGCTGTAGGGAGACGTGCTCCCTGACAGCAGAAGCCTTTGGGTTTGTGAAATGCATCATTAAATATTCCAGTATATAAAATGTGTGTTCACTTTAACAAGGTTAGGGAATTGTCTAAGAGCGTAGATGATTCTGATGGAAACTATCCTTAAAAAAACATGCCTAATCCTCTGAAGATGCCTGGGGAGTGGTCTGCATTCTGTGGGCAAGGCAATGGTGGCAGTATGCTTTCCTTTGCCCAGGGCTTGAAGGGCCCCATAAAGCCCTGGCTCAGGACAGCTCAACACTTGAGGTGAGGCTAAGGGAAACAGTAGGAAGGAGATAAACACTTTGGGCACGCCAGAGCCCTTTCCTATGAGGTGTCGCCAACCTGTTGGTGCCACCTGGAGGACTCTCCATCATGTGTGCTGTGCAGGAGCCTTAAAGGAGTGCCCAGAGCCAGAGCAGGCTGCCCTGCCATGGGCTCCCCCGTGGCTCTCGGGGAGGGTCACAGGGAGCGCGTGTGCCCCAAATGCAGAGCGCGCCTCGGTTTGCCCAGCCCTTTCCCAACCCCGTGCTCCTGGGCGTAGTGTGGTGGGCTTGGCACTGGAGTGCTGGGGAGCAAGCTGTGGCACCAAGGTGCCTAATGCCCTGTGGTTCTCTCCTTCCAGACTCTGGACTAACAGCGCCTCCGCCAACAGGTAACTAGACGTTTCTGTTCAGATGCATGATATTTCCAGAGGTGGGTCTCTGCCAGACTCTCTCTCTGTAGCAGTGAAGGACCTAAAGATCTGTGTTTCAGTTAAAGGCACTGGGTAATTTCACTGAAGCTCGTGATGATGCTGATTTCTTTTTGGTGCCCTTGGGGTGCAAAGGCATTGATTTACCTGGGGTAGAAATGTGGAGGCAGTCTCTGCAGTAATCTAGTGGTGTTCCAGGTGAGCAAGTGCTGAAGCGCCTAGTATTGCATGCACCGCGCTCCGTCTAGCCAGGTTGCAGTATGAACTCTCATTTTGGGGTTTAGTGACCCTGGAGACCCTTCGGAGAAGGTGTATGACTCCCAGCAAGGCACTCCTCTTACGGAGGAGGCTCCTCGTTCACTTGGTGTTCTCTCTCTGCATTGCCAGGTAGCCTCAGCTCAACTGCCTCGATGCCACCGACCTCAGGTAAGTGCAGGAGGTGCTTAGTGGTGTGACCAGCTCGCGTTCCTGCCCCCGACCCCGTTGGCAGGCGAGGCGCAGCCGATGGGAGTTTCTTGCACGTGCCCAATGCAACCTGAGCTCTGGGTGGGTGGAGATGAACGGGGAAGGCCTTGCGGTGCAGCAACGCGGGGAGGAGCCACGCGCCCGGGAGGGAAAGTGTGTGTGGGAGCATGGCAGAGCCTCTTTGCGCGGGCTCCTGCTGTTCTCCAAAGCCTTGTGGTGATGTGAATGTTAGCGGCTCTCTGCTTGTTCCATGTTTTGGTCCATTTTGTAGGTGTTTTCTCCTGTGGTGGCTTGCTCTGGGATTCATATGGCTCATTTCAAAGCCCCAACTATCCTAGCCCCTATCCCAATAACGTGCAATGTGTATGGCGTATACAGTTGTGGCAGGAGAACTACAGAGTGAACCTGGTGTTTTTGGATGTTGAGTAAGTAAGGCGTGGGCTGTGTGAGCGCTGCACGGGGCTCTGCTCTTGGCTCCAGGCAGGGCAGGTGCTGACTCCCGGCTCGAGGCAGCTTTCCTCCGCACTGCAGTGCTTGGCTGTCTCTGCCTGGTTCCTGGGCCCATCCAAGTGCTCCTCTCCCGGGCTCAGACCGCCTGGGGATCTGCCGGCATTGTGCCAGGCTGTCCCAGCCTACAGAGAGGGCCCATCCCCACAGGTCCGTGCAAGTCGTCATCCCTCTCTGGCAACAGGCCCCTGGAGGTGACATACCCAGCCCCGCTGGGCAGAGAAGGACGTGGGGAGTGGGGGAGTTGGCTGGTCTGGCCCTTTGGAAGGCCGTTTGCTGTCTCCCTCCAGCGGGGCCACAGCTTCTGCAGGTCTGCGTCACATCCCAGCTCTCTGCTCCATGCATGGGCCGTCATCTTCCAGGGCGGTGACCCCATCCTGAGCTATCCCTTGGAGCAGCAACAATGCGCGATTCCTGGCTGGAAACGGCCGTGTCCTGGAAATGACCAAGTTCTAAAGCAGAGCAAACTTTCCTTTCCGCTCCGCAGGCTGGAAGGCAGCTCCTGCCAGTTCGATGCCATCGAGGTGTATGACGGCGGGCTCCCTGGGGGCCCTCTCCTTGGGACAGTTTGCAGTAACAACCACCACGTATTTATATCATCTGGAAAAGAAATGGCTGTCCTATTTCGCAGTGACAGCAGTGTCACCCGGAAAGGTTTCCAGGCCTACTACTACTCAATTCCTGATCACAGCAGCACTACAGGTAAGACCACAGTGGTCTTGTAATATTTGCCAGGATGGAAATGCAAACCTTTTCCTAAAGGGTTTCTGACTGTTCCTGCCAGCACTGTGAATCCAGCCTCTTCTTGCCCAACTGCCAGGTGTTGCAGCTCCAGGGCATCCTTTTAGGACAGGACCTCCTTCAAGTTGCTCTGAGAATGCTGTTTCTTTGGCTGATCAGGGCAAGGACTGAGCTTTACCTACCTCTGCCCACTGCTGCCACCAAACCATCGCTGATTTTTGCTGCCTGTACCGCAGGCAGAGGAGGTGATTGCTCATGCCATTCCCCAGCTGTAGCAGTGCAGGGAAAAGGTAGTGTTCAGAATTTTGAGGCACACTGTTACTTATTTCCCCCAAATAAAGGTGGAGCCAGGTTCATGCTCAACATGGTGCCTTATTTTTTGCAGTTAAGGAGTAGCTGAGGAGAGAGAGCACTTGCTGCTGTATGACTCCCAGCAAGGCATTCCTCTTACTGCAACCTGGCTAGACGGGTTGCAGTATGAACTCTCATTTTGGG